ATTTTTCTCTCTCTCGATATATAACATAGATATATATATACCCACATATATATATATATATATATATATATATATATATATATATATATATACACCTTACCTCCTGGCTCAGCCTAGCCCTTTCTTTCTTTGGTCCTTTCTCCCATCTGTTGACAAACTCTCATTTCTCTTAGCAAATTAGATGCACACTCTTTACTGTGACATGAAACATTCTTCCCAATATGGGCCCAGAGAGGCTATTATTACCCTTCTGACAGATTGGATTACTCAACATTCCCTGAGCATACTTTTGCAGTTTGTCTCTCTCAGGTCCCTTCCTTCCATCCTTCTTGTTTTCAACAAATGCACACTGAGTAACTTCAACAACAACCACAACGACAACAACAATAATAATAGCAGTAACGATTTACTCCTGCCAGACACTGTTCTGGCCTTTCACATATTAACTCATTTAACCCTCATAACAACCCTTTGAGGTAGCATATTAGTGTTATACCCATTGTATAGATGAGGAAACTAAGATGCAGAGAGGTTGAATAATTTGCCTTAAGTTACGTACACAGCTAACAAGTGGCGGAGCTGGGATTCAAACCCTGGCCCCAGGGTGCATGCTTCTAACCTCTATGCTGGCAAGAAGGATCATTGAATCTGCAAAAGTAGCCAGAAGAGACTTCTTGGAGGAGGTGCACTCGACTGTAATTTGAAGGATTAGTAGGAGTTTTTCAACAGATGAGTGGGGCCAGGGCAGAGGGTGGGACAGACTTCCAGGCTGAGAAGATAGTGTGTGGTGAGCTGGGGGTGACCTTGTGCAAGATCATGAATGATGGGCCCTGTGTGCTGTGCTAAGGAGATTAGATTCTCTCCATTTAGTTTTTGGAAGCATAGTGAACAATGTGGTAAGCCATCAGATCCTCCTTCAGAATCCAGGGACTCATTTCCCTGGCTGCCTGGGGTGCTGAAGACTGGCTCTCTCAGCTCAGTGTCTGTCTGGAATTGCTCTTGACCAAGGGAGCTGCCATGCCCAAGATCATGTGCCCTTCCTGGGGCATCCCATAGCCAATCGATGATAGACCCGTGAGTACAAAGGCCTGGCACCATCACCCCAACTCAAGGCTGCTCTGAAGGAACATCCCATTTGCGAACCCACGACAGGGTGAGCCAAGGTTTCTGTTGAGGCTGCGTCAAAACTCAGCATCTACTCTGCCCAGTGCTGCTTCCTTCAGTCCTCCCCAGATGTTGATCCTCAGAGCACATCCCAATAAGCCTACTGCATGAGCATCTCTGCCGCAGAGTCAATGTACAGAGGACTCAGACTTTTAGACAGGAAATCACTGAAGAACTTTGAGCAGAGATAAGACAGTCTGATCTGAGTAGACTTCTAGGTTAGACTTCTAGGTTGACTTTTTTCTTTTTCAGTATTTTAGAAATGTTGCTGTACTGTCTTCTAGCTTGCATTGCTTCTGATGAAAAATCTGCAGTTATCCTTATCTTTGCTTTCTCTGTATGTAATGTTTTCTACTCCTCTGGCTACTTTTACGATTTTCTCTTTATCACTGTTTTTAAGCTACTTGATTATGATGTGCCTTGGTGTAGTTGTATGCATGTTTCTTCTTTTTTAAAGTTTTTAAAACATATTTATTTGGCTGTGTCTGGTCTTAGTTGTAGCACATGGGATCTTTCATTGCAGCGCTTGGGCTTTGTTGCCGTGCACGAGCTTCTCTCTAGTTGTGGCATGTGGGCTTAGTTGCCTCTAGTTGTGGCATGGCATGTGGGATCTTAGTTCCCCAAACAGGGATCGAACCCGAGTCCCCTGCATTGGAAGGTGGATTCTTAACCACTGGGCCACCAGGGAAGTCCCTGTATGCATGTTTCTTGTGCTTGGGGTTTGTTGAGCATCTTGTATCTGTGGATTTATAGTTTTCATCAAGTTCAGAAAACTTTTGGCCACAGTTTACTCAGATACTTTTTCTGCTCTTCTCTTTCCTTCAGGGACTCCAAATACTCTGTCTACTAGGCTGCTTGAAGTTGTCCTGCAGCTCACTGAGCTTTGTTCATTTTTTTCCCAGTTTTTTCTCTCACCGTGTTTCATTTTGGATAGTTTCTACTGCTATTTATTCAAGTTTATTCATCTTTGCTTTTGCAGCATGTAATCTGGTATGAATCCCATTCAATGTATTTTTTTAATTGTAGTTTACATTTCTAGAAGTTTGACCTGGGTCTTTTAAAAATCTTCCATATTTAATTTTCCTTCTAACTTCTTAAACACATGGAATAGTAATAACTCTTTTAATGAACTGTCTACTAATTTTATTATCGGAATCATTTCTGAAACCATTTCAGTTGGTTTATCTTTGCACCGTAGGTCATACGTTTCTGCTCCTTTCCATAGTGTAATTTTTTTAATTGGATGCCAAATATTGTTAATTTTGCCTTGTGGCGTCCTGGATATTTTTATGCTTCAGTAAATACTCTTGAGCTTTGTTCTGGGATACAATTAATTTACTTAGAAACAGTTTGATCCTTTCAAGGCTTACTTATTTTTCTTTTTTTCTTTTTTTTAATTTTTTTTTTTTTTTTTTTTGTGGTACTCGGGCCTTTCACTGTTGTGGCCTCTCCCGTAGCGGAGCACAGGCTCCGACGCCCAGGCTCAGAGCCATGGCTCACGGGCCCCGCCGCTCCGCAGCATGTGGGATCCTCCCGGACCGGGGCACGAACCCGCGTCCCCTGCATCTGCAGGCGGACTCTCAACCACTGCGCCACCAGGGAAGCCCTCAAGGCTTACTTTTTAAGTCTTCGTTAGGAGGGAACTGAGAAGCATCTAGTCTGGGCCTAATTTTCCCCACCATTGAGGCAAACGCTTTGGTATCATTTACCCAACGCCCCAAGAATTATGAGGTTTTACCCCTTCAGCTGGAGGGAAAGGCATGATCTCCATCTTGCGTGGGCTCCAAGTATTGTTCTCTCTGTTCATTTCGGATGGTTGTTTTCCCACCTCAGATACTTCCTTCACACATATGTGCTGATCAGTCCTCAGCTGACTGTCCCAGGGAACCCTCTGAAGATTCCAGAGCTCTCTCTCCTATCCTGTGCTCTGTCCCGCAAGCTAGCTGCCTTGGCCTCCCCTTCCATCTCCTCAGCTCAAGGAGACAGCCAGGCTCAGCCTGGATCCCTCCTGCCTGCAGCCTAGAAACCCTGCAGACAATACTCTCACCTGGCTTGTTTCGTCTTTCAGGAGTCACTGTCTTAGGCCGCCTGATGGCCAATGTTCAAACGTCATTGTTTCATGTATCCTCCCAGTTTTTTGGTTGTTAAACATGGGAAGGTATACAGCAAAGGAAACCATCAACAAGATGAAAAGGCAGCCTATGAAGTGGGAGAAAATATTACAAATCATATATCTGATGAGCAGCTAATATCTACAAAATATAAAGAATTCATACAACTCGAAAAAATCTGATTTAAAAATGGATAGAGGATCTGAATAGACAATTTTCCAAAGAAGACGTACAAATGACCAACAGATACGTGAGAAGGTGCCTAACATCATTAATCATCAGGAAAATGTAAATCAAAACCACAATGAGGACTCCCCTGGTGGTGCAGTGGTTAAGAATCCACCTGCCAATGCAGGGGACACGGGTTTGAGCCCTGGTCCGGGAAGATCCCATGTGCTGAGGGGCAACTAATCCCGCGCACCACAACTACTGAGCCTGCGTTCTAGAGCCCAAGACCCATAACTACTGAGCCCACGCGCCACAACTACTGAAGCCAGCGCACCTAGAGCCAGTGCTCCGCA